GCCAAGAGTGATGGGGCACACCTTTGATTCCAGCACTTGGGAGGTAGAGGCAGGTGGATTTCTGTGAGTTAGAGGCCAGCCTGGGCTTCAGAGTTCTGAAACAGCCAGCCGGGCTACATAGAGAATCCTGTCTCAAAAAAAAAAAAAAAAAAAGGTATTTATGCTGAGAACTTCATCTGAACACATAAAAAGAGAATGGGTTAGAGAATGGGAAGTGAGTTTAAAGGTTATTTAACATGGAATTATACACTTAAAACTAGTTTAAGATGGTAAATTTCGCCGGGCTGTGGTGGCACACACCTTTAATCCCAGCACTCAGGAGGCAGAGGTAGGCGGATCTCTGTGAGTTCGAGGCCAGCCTGGTCTACAGAGTGAGTTCCAGGATATCCACCAAAGCTACACAAAGAAACCCTGTCTCGAGAGAAAAAAAAAAAAGATGGTAAATTTCATGAGTGTATGCTGTGGAATGTCGTTCTGTATGCTGTGAATATGTGTTGCTGATTGGTGGATAAATAAAACAGACTGGCCAGTAGCCAGGCAGGAAGTAGAGACAGGGTAAGCAAACAAGGAGAATTCTGGAAACAGGAAGGCTGAGTCAGGAGATGCCAGCCCACCACCCAGGGAGCAGCATGTAATGGCACACAGGTAAAGCCATGGAACACATATAGATTAACAGAAATGGGCTGAGTTTAAGTGTAAGAGCTAGTCAGTATTAAGCCTGAGCTAATGGCCAAGCAGTTATAATTAATATAAGCCTCTGTATGTTCATTTGGGTCTGAGCGGCTGTGGGACCAGGAAAACTCCAACTACAAGTGTATCTTTTTTTTTTTTTTTAATATTTTAATACAGGACAAGGATTCATTTAGCCCAAACTGACGTAAAATTGGTAAGCATCCTCAATCTTCCACGTGATGGATTACAGGCAACTGATCACCTACAAATTCTTTTATTTTTTATTTTATTTTATTTGAGACAGGGTCTTGTTATGTAGCCCTGGCTGTCCTGGAACTCCCCATATAGTCCAGGCTGGCCTGGAACTCACATAGATCTGCCCGCCTCTGCCTCTTAAGTGCTGGGATTACAGGTGTGTGCCCCTACCACCTGGCCAAATTCTTTATTCATAGCCCAGTAGCATGTCTGAAAAAGTTCCACTAATAGGAAATTTTACTAATCTACAAAACATTACATTTAGCTTTTTCGGTGCTGGAGATTCAATCTAGAATATCATGGATGGTTGGCAACTGCTCTAACCACTGAGCACATCCCAGCCTTCAGTTTGGCTTTTGGATACTGAGTTTACTCCCGCAGGACACAGTCACTGGTGGCCTTTGTGAAGAAGAAATTCTACTGATCCCAGCACCATTTCTGGCAGCTAAAATAAGTACTAGAAAGATGCTCTGTAAAAACAATAATTAAAAAAATCATCTTTAAAAAAAAGCTCAGAGTGGTGGTGAACACCTTTAATTCCAGCACTGGGGCAGCAGAGGCAAAGGGAATCTTTGAGTTCCAGGCCGCCAGGTCTACAAAGTGAGACCCTGTCTCAAAAAAATAACCAGAACTTCTTGGACAGAAAGGGGACACACCTGAACCCCAGCACCTGGGAGGTAGAAGCAGGAAGACCAGGGGCTCTAGTCCTGCCTAAACTATGTAAGATCTTGTATGAACAAAAAAAGAGGAGGAGGTAGATGATAAATATGTAAGGGCCAAAATGTTCCATTAGTTTGTTGACAGTAACAACAAAAATACTTAATTTTGAAAACAACAGTGTAATCTTTTCAGTTTGGGTTTCATTTTAGAAGACTCGGGATGTTCATTTTAAAATAATGGTTCACTGCCACTGTATTGTTTTAGCTGCTTATTATCTAAGCTCTGCTTCATGCTACCTTCTGTCTGTATTTCAAATCTCACACGCTGATGTCATTTTGAAGACTTGAATGACACATTGTTTCTCACCTTCCATCTGCTCAGAGTTAAATGTTAAAGAATGTTGTGTGGTATTTATTTAATAAAGTCTTTGAGACAGGTTTTCTCTGGGTAGCCCTGGCTGTCCTGTCTCTGCCCCCCAAGTGCTAGGATTAAAGGTGGGCACAATGACCCTGGCTCTGGCTACAGATTTTAAGTACACAGTTTGGTGGTGTGGTCTTTGGCTTTGTCTTGTTTTTGTGGGGTTTTGTTTTGAGAACTTTAATTTTTTTTTTAATTAAAAAATATGAGATGGGTGATGGTAGCACAAGCCTTTAATCCCAGCATTTGGGAGACAGAGGCAGGCAGATCTCTTGTAAATTTGAGGCCAGCCTGATCTACACAGAAAAATTCCAGGACAGCCAGAGCTATGTAATAGAGACCCTGTCTCAAAAACAAACAAAAACAAAAACTCACCTTTATTATTACTTTGTGTGAATACTGCATGCAGGTGTACTGAAGTCAGAGGTCAACTTTTGGGAGTCAGATTTTTTTTGTTTTCCCCTCCCAAAACAAGGCTTTTCTCTGTGTAACAACCCTAGCTGTCCTGGAACTTACTCTGTAGACCAGGCTGGCCTCAAACTCACAGAGATCCACCTGCCTCTGCCTCCTGAGTGCTGGGACTAAAGGTGTGCACTACTACCACCTGGCTTGGGCAGTCAGGTTTTTCCTTTTTCTTAGCCACCCACAGTGCCTCAGATGTTCCTCACTTTTCACAAACCCCAAAACAATCTTAGACAGCACATACCCCTCAAGCATATAAAATTAAGTTGGTTTTGTAATCAGAATAACTCCAGTAATAAACACTGACAGCAAAAAATAAAATAAAATAAACAACGAACACTGGCAGCACTAAAAACGTAGCTGGGCCTGATAGCCCACATCTGTAATCCGAACACTCAAGAGATCAATGCATGCTTGAGGCTAGCCTGGGATACAGTAGAGGCTCTGTCTCAAACAAACCAAAAACCAATGAGTGAACTAAAAACTTACTTCAGTACTTAAATGGTCAGTCAGGAGAAACTGGAGAGAAATAATGTTCTTTTCCTACCAAACTGGCAACAACATGCCAAGCTTCCTATTGTAAATAAGAGGGAAAAGCTGGGAGGTGGGAAGCAGGCAGGCAAAAGAACACAAGCTAGAGCGCCTAGGAACGACACTAGAACAATAGCCCTTCTTTCTTTAGTCAATCACCTGTCACTCGGTTCCAGTCATAGGTCTGCAGTTTGAGACAGCGTCTTGGTGTGTACCTCTTGGCTGGCCTGTAACTTGCTATGTAGATAGCCCACTAGGCTGGCTTCAACTCACAGATATCTGCCTGCTTCTGTCTCCAGAGTGCAGGGACTAAAGGTATGCGTCCACCAAACCCAGCAAGTTGGTGCCTGGAAAGTTAACTACAATCCTTGCATCGGATCACCTGGACCTCAGGTACAAGCGGAAGGGCTGGAGATAGCTAGGCAGCTAAGAAAGCACACTGCTCTTGCAGAGGCCCTGAGCTGAGTTCCCAGCACGCACTACTTCCCAACTCCAGCCCAAGTGGATCTGATGCCTCGAGCCTCCAAAAGAACCTGCACACACATGCACATACTAACTCGTAATTACAAAATAAAGATAAACCTCTAAGGTTTTTGTTTTGTTTTTAAGATACAGCAGAAATTACAAGTGCTTAGTTAACTCTAAAGGCTGTATCATGCATTCAATGCCTCCGAGTATACCAAACTTTAAAAATTCAACCCCGCTCTTGCTGTTAACGACTGGCTTTTAAAGACCAATAACAAAAACGTACACTCCACCCATGGGTCTCATCCACAAATAAGCGTCATGGTGTGTGTGTGGGGGGGGGGGGAATAGGCACGGAGTGGGATAAAGACCTAAGCTTACAAAGTCTTTTCAGGCACTGCTTGAGGCATCTGGTGGACATGGAAATAAACGCGAGTTTGTTCGAGGGGTGCCAAGAGAAACAAAACTCCGCAAGTCCGGGCACCAAACGCGGAACACGGGGCAAAGGGCATGCACCTCCTTGCTTTTCGCCCAAATCCCGATTCGTTGCTTCACCTGGAGCCTTTCAAAGGCAGTCTAATGGTCTCCGGTTCCTCCCTCCTCCTGAGCGAACTCAACAATCCCTACTACCTGGAGACCAGGGGAAAGTCGTGCTTACCAAAAACAAGCGCAGCTGTCAGAGCCAAGAAACACGTCCGTACCATACCATAGTCGCTTGCCCCGCTTCAGTCTGCACTACTCAACTACGAGCCAAAACACTTGGTCCCCAGCCTAAGCTACCGTTCTCCATTTTTCCAGGGGTGTTCGGTCAGATAAGCCGGCCGGTCTCCACTCCCTCTATCTACTCCGTGTATTCAGTAGGCTTGTCAAAGTTCCCAACGCCAACCAACCCCCTGCCAGGACTCCAGCGTCTTCACTGCGTTCCCGCCCCCAAGATCGGCTCCTTTCCTTCACTTTCTGAGGACTTTTCCTAGATCTTGCCCCAGGTCTGACACTCCAGGTCCTCCATCAGATCTCACCTCTGCCTGGCACAACTCTTCCCTGTTCATACGCAGCTGATTATCATTTGTGTCGTTCCTCCCGCGCCCCCCCCCCCAAAAAAGTTGTTTTTTCCTTATCTCTACTCAGATGGAGACACACACACACACGATCTACTCTCAGCTCCGAGATCTCTCCCGTGCCCAGGCAGGGTTCGACCTCTGCACCTAACACCCTCCCTCCGAGTTCCCTCACAGCCCTGCCATCCTCAGTTCCTTCACACCTATTTAAAAGAAAAATACTCCACAACGCTCATTTCCTGTGCTTTTTTTTTTTTTTTACGTCCAGAACACACGCTGCTCGTCCCAGATCAACTGCCTTGGCTTCGATCCCACGACTTCTCCCCTCTCCCCACGTTCGTCGGGCTCGGACTCCCCCAGCCACCTCCCGGCCTGGGCCCGGCCCTGCCCTGTCCCGCCAGCGGGCTCGGGTGTTCCTTCCCTCGGGGCCGCGAGGCCGCGGCCAGCAGGGCCGGCTGGCTCCGCGTGGGGCCGGCTCACCAGTTGGTCATGTCCAGGAAGAAGGCGCAGCCGGCCGGGTTGAGCTGGAAGCCGAGCAGCCGCTGGAACTCGGAGATGAGCACGTCCTTGTCGGTGGTGCCCAGGCAGCTGAACTTCTGCATGAGCTCGGGGTCCAGGTCCACGTCCATGCCCTCCATGGCGGGGGGCCCGGACGCCCAGCTTCCTTCGCCCTGGCCTGCT